CTCTCTCTCTCTCCCGTTTTTTTTGAGGGTGCAGGGTCTCACCTGGTGGTACTCTCGGGACTGTGTGGGACCACCAGGGTCGCACTCCAGCTCTTTGAGCTCTCTCCCAGCCCAGCAGCCTGTTTTTACTAAGATGGTTAAAATCAGCGGTCCCCATGTGAACACTTACAAATTTAAAAAGTACAAAAGTAACCAATGTTAAGATTCAGAAAAAAAATAGCATTATAGATCCCATAAAATAAAGATTTTGCGGGGGTGGGGGGCGGAGGTGTGGGGGGCAAGGATTGGACCACAACCAGAGATGCTCAGAAATCATTCTTGGAGGACTTGAGACCATATGGGATGCTGGGGGTTGAAACTGGGTCAGCTATGTGCAAGTCAAGTGCTTTACCCACTGTACTATCTCTTTGGCTCCAAGACAAAGATATAAAAAGAGTATTATTAGAATTTTAAATATAGTATGGCATATCAGATAAAAGGAAGTAGTCTCAAATTACAATTAAAAACATCTTAAAGGGAAAATAGTTTAAAATATCACCATTGAAACTCAAGGTTCCCCTCCTCCAGAGGAATAAGATAGAAACCAGAGACTCAGAATAGACTATATTCTGTTATGCAATCCAAAATTATTCAACAGAAGAAATAGGGCAACGTGACCCATTCTCAAATGAAAATCATTATAGACCAGCTCAGAATTAAGCCAAAAGTCGAATTAACTAAAAAAAAAATTCAAATGTCTCTTATACCTCCATTCAGTGATAGAATGGGAACTATTCTAATAGTACATGTGAGTTTATTTAATTTCAACAGAAAGAGGATCTAATTTAAAAAGTATGAATCTTACCACAGACAAATACATGATCTGAAACTTAAAGCTCTCTAAACTTACAGAATAGGGAAAAGGTAAGAATCCGTCTATTAAAAATAGGTTTTCCATAGTATTCTCTTTATAAAAGACAAAACACAAAGCATTTCATTTTTTTTAGGTATATTACCATTGCAAATAGGTCTCTCTAGCTCTCTCGCTCGCTCTTGCTCTCTTGTTCTCTCTCCCTCTCTATCGCTCTCTCGCTCACTCTCGCTCTCTCCTCTCTCTCCCTCTCTCTATTTCTCTTTCCCTCCATCCCTCCCTTCCTCCATCCTTCTCACACCCAGCAGTTCTCAGGCTACTTCCAGCTTGGTGCTCAGGAGTCTCTTCTGGAAGTACTGGGCTTCACACCAAAACAAAGCATATACTCCAACCCACTGAAGTATTTTTCTGGCCCTGTAAATAGTTTTCGAAGTATTTCTTGGCGAGCCAGTTTAGTGAGGATTAATCCTTTTAAATTGTTTCTCAGAAAAGCTCTTTATTCTCCCTCAGATATGATCGACAACTTCACCAGGTAGAGGATTCTTGACTGGAGGCTTTTCCATTCACTGCTTGGTGTCTATCATGCCCCTTAATTCTGGCTAGCTCTAGAATTTCTGTTGAAATAATCTGTGGATAATCTTACAAAATTCCCTTATAAAATGATTCCTTGCTATTCTCTTGCTACATGTAGAATTTATTTTTATTTTTGTCATTTTAGTTACAATGTGTTTTGATGAGTTTCTGTTTGGGTTTATTTTGTTTGGAACTTTTTTGGTGTCTGATCTGGGTGTCTGATGCCCTTCTCATTTTGGTGAAGTTTTCAATATTCCTTCAAACATTTCTACCCCTTTCTGTTCTCCAGATCTCCAGATCTATTCCAGATTCTCCCTCCACTTGATGCAAATGTTATTTTTTGGTGTTGTTGTTGTTTGTTTTTGGGCCACACTTGGCTGTGCTCGGGGTTTACTCCTTCCTCTGCACTCAGAAACCAAACCTGATGGTGCTTAGGGGACCGTATGGGGTACTGGGGATCGAGGCCACATGCAAGGCAAGTGCCTTACTTACTGTACATTTGTTGCAAATGTTCCTTTTGATGCTGTTCCTTGTGGCTTGTCTTGAAGAGAGGTTGGCTACACCCAGCAGTACTCGGGGGACCATACCTGAGGAAATAGAACCCGGGGCTCCCATATGTAAAATCTCTGCTCCAGCCCTTTGAGCTGTCTCCCTAGCCCCTGTATCATATGACTCTACTATCTTAAGTGTTTTAAAATCTTGCTGGTCCTTTTGTGTGGTTTTCACTGTTTTGAGCTCAATGATTTGATTTTCATCTTCTTCCATTCTACTTTTGAACTGTTGATCCCTCTGTTGTATGTTTTAGCTCAGCTACTGTTTTGTTTGTTTTGGGTGGGGTTTTCATTTTGTTTTGTTTTCAGTGCCAGGCCTCACACAGGTAAGGAATGCTCTACTACTGAACTCTGTCCCTGGCCCTCAACTTATGTGGCTCTATTCTGTAGCTCTATGATTGGATATTTTGGGGTTCTACTCAGACTTTCTTTCATATGTACTTTGTTGGACTTCTCTTGCATTGTGTCTTCATCTCAGTCAGCATCATTAGGAGTGCAGCGTTGAAGTCTTCTTTGGGTAACTTGCACAGCTCTGTTGTATTGAAGCATTCTTTTTCAGGCTCTTCCTCCATCTCCCTGTTTATATCTGATGCCCCATGTTGGTCTCAAGTTTTGGTATAGGTTTGTTACGATTGTGCAAGTTGGTAAACACAAGTTCTCATTATTTAACATTATTTAAACATTTGATAATTTTTAAGGACACTAAAGAGTACATTTGTGTTTAGCTCTTTCATAACTCTAAAATATTGTAGCATTCTGAGGATTGATTTACTTTTTCAGATCCCTGAGGCATTGGGGGTTGGTGTGCCAGTGATACTGATCATAGGCAGAAGTCCCCAACTTTTATTATGGGCGGAGGAATCGAACTCGGGTCGGCCATGTTGGCTGCATGCAAGGCAAACGCCCTACCGCTGTGCTATCGATTCCTCCGCAGAAGTCCCCAACTTTTATCGTCTAAAACTTTGTTGTCTAAAGCTAGAGAGAAAGGGTGCAGGTAGTGTGTCTGCCTTGCACATGACTGACTGGATTCTGTTGTCGGCATCCAGTATGGTCCCCTGAGTCCTACCAGGAGTGATCCCTGAGCACAGAGCCAGGAGTAAGCCCTGAGCCCAATTGGGTGTGACCTTCAAACTGAAAAGCAAAAACCTAAAATGCCAGGCAAAGTAGACAGTTTCAGAGATAAAGAGGACCAGCAACAGGGTGGAAACCAACATTCTTTTGTACTTGGAGATCCTTGAGGAGAAAAGTGGAAACTTTAGCCTGGGAAGCAGACCTGTGCATGTTTGCTTCAGACATCTTTTTCTTTCTATTTCTCTTTTTACACACAAATGTTTTTGTGAAACTTTAGAAACTTGTTATACAAGGATTGGGTTCAGTCATATATAACACTAACAAAAACGCAGTGGCTGAGACCATTGTTAATAGTATTGTAAGCCACAGAATCTCAATCAATAAAAGCACTGTCCGTTGTTCATCGATTTGCTTGAGTGGGCCCAGTAACATCTCCATTGTAAGACTTGTTGTTACTGTGTTTGGCATATCGAATACCTCACGGATAGCTTGCCAGGCTTTGCCATGTGGGCGAGATACTCTTGGTAGCTTGCCGGGCTCTCCGAGAGGGGCGGAGGAATCGAACCTGGGTCAGTGGGGCTGGCCGTGTGCAAGGCAAACGCCCTATCGCTCCAGCCCCAATCAATAAAAAAGAAACAGAAATACAGAGGATTGCTTGAAAACATAATGCACTCATGGCACACTCCTTCACAGAAAAAGGCAGTGGAGAGATGGCTGCTGTCCATGGTCATCGGGGACCCAGGCCCCCATGTCTCTATCATCATGGCCCTTAGTTCTCCTTCCCCCTGTAGGGCACTGCAGGCATGCTGAATGACCACTTCTGATATAGCTCTCATTGCTGTGCTCCAGGAAGGGAGGCCCGACCAAAGTCTATACTTCCAGGTAGACGCCAACCCCTCCAAAGAGCATTTCCGGAGACCTGGCCTCCTGATTGGCCATCCCTCTCTGGAAAGGGCATTGCCTTCCACTTAAGGGAGAGGCGGAGTACTGTGTGTGTAGGTAAATCTTAGTATTTGCTAGATCCAGGGACTGAGACCTAGTGGGCTAAGACTTTGTGATAAATGCAAACTCAGAGTTAAGACAGTAATAATTTTGGACTGACCTGTCATAAGAGTTTGGAGCTTAATTGCTTAGCAGTATTGAGGACTTTCTGTGTGCCAGGCACTGGAGTCATAAAACTGAACAAGAGCAGCTTGGTCTCCACTCCCAAAGTGTTTAAGGCTAATGGGAAGATTTTAAATTCATAATTTTAAATAAACTATGACTGGGTTGAACACTAAGAAAAGGATTAGTGTTGGATTGTGTAATATGTAAAACTTGAGGAGTGTATGATATGACATAGAAAGGATGCTTGGGATTTAGCAGGTCAGGAAGAAGGGAGCGGGGTGAGACATATTCTTGCAGACTCACTCCTACTTTGCTGTTTTCCAAATAGTTCTTTTTTCCATTATCTAATTTCCTTACTGGAGGGAATCAGTCGCCACCTTCAAATAGCAAAGGAAGGCAGGGATTAATACTCCTTTCAGCTGAAGTGTCCCTCTCGGAGAACTTGGCAAGCTACCGAAAGTATCCTGCCTGCATGGCAGAGCCTGGCAAGCTCCCAGTGGCGTATTCGGTATGCCAAAAACAGTAACAACAAGTCTCACAATGGAAACATTACTGGTGCCCGCTTGAGCAAATCGATGAACAAAGGGAGGACCGTGCTACAGTGCTTTAGCTGAAGTGGCTAAAGGGATGGCCATTCTTTCTTGTTACTTTTTCACTCTGTAGGTGAGTGTCTTCCTGCATAGGCTGTGCCAAGGAGGTTTGGTTACTGAGAAAGAAGGTGAACTAACAATTGGACTGAATCAAGGCTTAGTTGCCCATTATGGGTCTGGATTTTGGTGTCACTGTGGGAATTTGCGGGGGGCAGGGATTGATTCTGAAGTGTTGATGTGACCCCATTTCCCTTGCAGGAAGTGGACATTGTAGTAGCACCGTGCAAAGGCCTTCGACCCACAGTGGATGTTTTGGGTGATTTGGTGAATGAATTCTTGCCTGTGATAACCTATGCTCTCCACAAAGATGAACTCTCTGAGAGAGATGAACAAGAGCTTCAGGAAATCCGAAAGTATTTCTCTTTTCCCATATTCTTTTTCAAAGTGCCGAACCTGGGCTCAGAGGTCATTGACTCCCCCAGAAGAATGGAGAACGAGAGATCCCCGCTTCATCACCAGCTGACTGACCTGGGCTACCTGAGCAGTAGTCACTGCAACTGGGGGTCTCCCAGCCAAGACAGCAGGGCTCAGAGCATGTTGGTGGAACAGAGCGAGAAGCTGAGGCACTTGAGTACGTTTTCTCACCAGGTGCTGCAGATGCGCCTGGTGGATGCAGCCAAGGCTCTGAACCTGGTGCACTGCCACTGCCTGGATATTTTTATTAACCAGGCCTTTGACATGCAGCGGGACCTGCAAATCACTCCCAAACGTCTGGAATACACTAGGAAAAAGGAGAATGAGTTGTTTGAGTCCTTGATGAACATTGCCAATCGAAAGCAGGAGGAAATGAAGGATATGATCGTTGAGACACTTAACACTATGAAGGAGGAACTTCTCGATGATGCTGCCAACATGGAATTTAAAGGTAGGTTCTAGAAGGCTTATTGGGGTGCCATAGATAGGGAGCATCCTTGCAGTCTTTTTCTAGAATGGGGGTTCATTAATCCTAAATCCGAGGGAACCTCAGGATAATCTCAACTACCCCATTCTCATCAACAGAAATCTACCGTAAGTCATTTAGCTAAGGTGACCTCTCTTGGAAGACCTTCATGGAAGGCCATTTAGACCTTCTGGAAGATTCTACTGTCATTCCTTCCCAGGACCATTAACTCCACTTTCATTAAAGGCATCCAAATAGTGCTCTTCAGTCTTTATTTTATGCCTCTCTCTCCTTAACTCTAATGGAGAGTTGCTGGAAAAATGTTAAAAATCAGGATATAATCCTGGCCTTTTCCCAGCTTCTTTAATTTACTCTTATTTTTGTGCCATGGTCTCATTTTCTTTTTAGGCTGCTTCTAAAACTCAGCTCAGGAGATTTTCCCCAAATAGTGGTTTGAGCCTTTCTGTCGGTCCTGTTCTTTACAAATGGCTCTTACACAAATCAGAACGAAGTGAGTAGTCAGGTCTTTGGTGCCTGAGAGTTGGCTCTCGTTGACTTTGAATACTGCTTGTTATATAAACAACCCTGTATGAATCGTATAGCTCTTCTACCTGTTAATTAAAGCGCCGTGGTTTTCAAGTTACCCATTAGGTTTTCTATCATCGTTGTACATCCAAACCATCTGGAAAAAATTACCCCCACCCCTATCACTCCCTTTTTGGTGTTGTTGTTATTGTTGGTTTAGGGATTGATTGACTCCAGGGGCTCATGCATGCAAAGCATCTCACTGAGCTACGCTAAAAATATAAATGCACAAGATCACGAAAGACTATTTTAGGAGCTGGGGATAGTAAAGCAGGTAGCCACTTGCCTTGTATGCGAATGATCCAGAATTGCTCCCCGGCACCCCATATTGTCTCCTGAGTACCACCAGGAGTAATGCTTGAGCACAGAGCTAGGGGTAACTCCTGAGCATTCTTGGGTATTCTTCCCCCCAACTACCAAAAAAAAAAAACAACAACAAAATAAGGTTTTTAGATTTGTTATTCAGATTTCCATTATTTGTTTTTTGTTCTCCAAAATAGGCTTATTAGGTGAATTCTGCTTTTTGACATTTTCTAGGTCAGGGAAACTTAAAATTTAGAGAGTTGAAGAAATTTGCTCATGGCAACAAGGCTCAGAGGGAGGTCTGACTTTGATCTTGCCTGACACTGCTAGGTGTGGCCCCTGAGTAGAGGCAGATTCCTCACCCATATTCTTGCTTCTTAATTTGTTGCAGTTGCTATTGCCACTTTTTTTACCTGGTAAACCACTCTAAAAATCTCATCATGAATGAGATTTACCGGCAGTGCTCAGGGCTTCCTCCTCCCTCTGCACTCAGGGTTCACTTCTGGCAGTGCCCGGGGGACCATATTGGGTGCTGGGGATTGAACCCAGGTCCACCATTTGCATGCAGAGCAAATGCCCTACCCACTCACCCTGATCTTCTAATCTTTTGTTTTCTTTGTTCCCCAAATGCAATCAGTTGCCAAGTTCTGAGGAGTTATATTCTCTTCCTCTGTTTTTTTTTTTCTTTTTCCCCTTTCTTTCTCTTTGGTTTTTGGGTCACACTTGCTGTGCTCAGGGATCACTTGTGGTGAGCTCAGAGAACCAACCTGGGGTTTGAACCTGGGTACACCACATGCAAGGCGGGAGAGCCTTACCCACTCTACTCTTGCTCCGACCTCCTGCCTTTGCTTTGATACTCCCTCTTCTGTGTAGCAGTTCTCAGTCGAGCCTGCATTTCTTTATGTACCTTTCTGACTTTGCTCGTCTCGTGGGTCTCAGAAGTTACTGGTCTCTGTGCTCCTGTTATTTGTTGTTTTGCTCATGCCCAGCCCTGAATCTGTTTGTTGGGAGAGGCAGGGGGCAGGACTACCCCTGGCCGTCTCAGGGTCTGCTCCCATGTGTTGCTTGGCTGGCGGGGTGGGGGTGCGGTGGGGGTGACTCGAGAAGTGCTTGGGGGACCGCATGCTACTGATTGACCGTGGGGCTCCCTCTTGCAGAGCCTGGGCCCCGGTCCTTGGAACCATTTCCCTGATCTCCTGCCATGAATTTGAAGTATCTTTTGTCTGTTTGTTTCCAAATCCTACCTATCCTTCAAGGCCTCTTCCAATTGGCCAGGTTTTTTTTTTTTTTTCATGAAGATGTCTTTTATTTTGTTTGCTGGTAACAGTTGAGTTTATCTAAAAATTTCAGAATTGAAGGAAAATATTCTTAATCATATCTCTTGGAACAAACCCCACAGTCTAGTGTGCGCTACACCTTTGGAGAATTTGTGCTTGTGAATCATGGTGTATAGCTATGTCACACTTGCAAATAAAATAGAAAGTAGAACTCAGTGGTTGTTTCTGCCATGCCACTTCCTTTCAGGATTAGGAAATCCGTTTTGCAAGTCAGGGGAGAGAGACCTTAGAACAAATGATCTGCAGAAAGTTCTCCTTTTGCAAAGGCACTCTCAGGCCAGAGAGTGAGGTCAGTGGGCTTCAGCACAAGCTTTCTATGGGGGACGACTATGAAGTTGATCCCCAGAGCCACATGGTCACTGTAGTACTGCAGGGAGTGGCCCCTGAGCTGGGTGTGGTCCAAAAACCAAAGCCAAAAGCCAAAAAGGAAGGATGGAAGGAAGGAAGTTAGGAAGGAAGGACAGATGGACTGACAGATGGACTTACCACTGAGCCACATTCTTGCTCCAGAGTAGAATTCTTGTGTAGAATTCTCTAGGGTAGAATATTTTTGTCAGCAATGTGCTGGTTAGTGTGACTATTAAAAGATCAGAGACTTTGAAATCCCTGAGTTTTGGGCTTATTTATTTATTTTGATTTGTTTATTTGATTTTGGGGCCACACCTGGTGAAGCTCAGGTGTTACTCATGGCTGTGTACTCAGGAATCATTTCTTACAGCTCTTTGAAGGACCACATGGAATGCTGGGGATCGAACCCCGGCTAGCTGCATGTAAGGCTAGCATCCTACCTGCTGTACTGTTGCTCCAACCCCTGAGTTTTGGGTTTGAATGCTAGCTTCCTACCTGCTCCTGTTCCATCCCCCTCTAAATGCACACTTTGACCTCTTTTTGAGACTGTTCCTAATCCATAATAAATGAGTCTTATAGCACAACTGACCAAGTTATTATGGGGGTTACGTTCAGTTATATAAGAGGAATTACTGTAGGTGCCTGTCAGATAGTTTACTGTCATCAGTGTTGTTGTTCTCCTGTAAATGTGACGTAAGAGGTACATCTAGACACAGCTGCCCTTTCTTTGGATTCTCAGTTGGCCTGAAGTAATGAGGGTTCCATGGCCCTTATGCTAAGGGTCAAAGTTAAGAAGTCGTGTGTTTCATAGCCATTGTCAATTGCATCCTCCTCTGATTTGGGTGATATTTATAGTGCCCCCCTCTCCTTCCCTCTCTGATTTTTTCCCTCTCTGATTTCTCTGCCTCCATAGATGTCATTATCCCTGAGAACGGAGAACCAGTGGGCACCAGGGAGATTAAATGCTGCATCCGCCAGATCCAGGAACTCATCATCTCCCGGCTTAATCAGGCAGTAGCCAACAAACTGATTAGCTCAGTGGATTACCTCCGCGAGAGCTTTGTTGGAACACTGGAGAGGTGTCTGCAGAGCCTTGAGAAGTCTCAGGATGTCTCAGTTCACATCACCAGTAATTATCTCAAACAGGTACTCAAAGAGTGGTTAGCCCATTGTGCAGGTTGATAAAGGAAACAGAATCCACACACAAGCCTGACCAGTTTAGCTCAGAATTTCCCTTTCAACTTTAGGCCAGTCCAGGTTGAATGTTTCTTTGCTTTTCTTTAACTGCCTATTGGAAGCTGCTCGTGAACTGGAAAATCACAGGTAAGTTGATAAGTAAGAAGGGAAAGATGTCCCAAATATACAGAGAGGAGTCTGACCAGTTTAGTTCAGAATTTCCCTTTCTGTTTTAGGCCAATCCAGTTTGGATTTTGTTTTCCCCTCTCTGCCTGTAGGAGCTGCTTATGAATTGTAAAATCGGTTAGGTTGATGAGCAAGAAGGGAAAGATGAAGAAGGCGGGTCCTAGGTGATACCGGCCTCTGTGGACACTGTGTGGATTGGGGGAATACATTTAAAAACCATGTGACTGGTCTGTGTTCTTAAAATGCGTATCATTTTATTCCAGTGTCTAAAAATCCTCTCAGGACATACTGTTTTCTCTTTCAGATTTTAAATGCCGCCTATCATGTTGAAGTCACATTTCACTCAGGGTCCTCAGTTACTAGGATGCTGTGGGAGCAAATCAAACAGGTAAGCAGTAGAGATTGTTTAGAGAAAAAGTGTTTAACCTCTGGCTGGTTTTAGTAATTCTCAGACATGCTGCTAGAGAACTGCTATCTAGGATCTTCTGTAAGTGTGTGGACCGTTTGTTCTAATTTGCCTGCCAGGAAGAATTGTGACTTTTTGCCTGTTACAAAATAAGTGTTAACATTGCCCACTTTAGCGCTCTCTCTCTCTCTCTCTCTCTCTCTCTCTCTCTCTCTTTCTCTCTCTTTCTTGGTGGGGGGCAGGGCACACCTCAGAGTGCTCGAGAGCTACTCCTGGCTCTGTGCTTGGGGGTTCACTCCTGGTAGTGCTTGGGGAACTGTGTGGTGCTGTGGATCTAACCAGGGTTAACCACATCCAAGGCAAGCACCTTAACCCATGTCCTGCTTCTTTCTCCCTTTAACTCTTAAAAGTGGTGCAGTTAAATTATTTCACGAAGCCACCCGACTCCATTAGCTTATTCTTATTTCTTATTCCCAGCTTAAATACTTTATCAAAATCAGAATCTGGGGGCTAGAGTGATAGCACAGTGGGTAGGACGTTTGCCTTGCATGCGGCCGACCTGGGTTCGAATCCCAGCATCCCATATGGTCTCCTGAGCACCGCCAGGAGTAATTCCTGAGTGCAAAGCCAGGAGTAACCCCTGAGCACCGCCAGGTGTGACCCAAAAAAGAAAAGTCAGAATTTGTTGCCATATGCCATTGAAGTTATTGTTTGCTTGAGTTTTGGTTTCTTAAATTTTGCGTCACACCTGGCAGTGCTCAGGCTTACTCCAGCTCTGCACTCAGGGATCACGACCCTGGTAGGGCAGGGCTCATGTGTTGTGGGTTGAAGTGAGATCAGATGTGCAATGCAAGCACCTTACCCACTGTGCTGACTCCTTCAGTCCATGAGTGTGATTTTTTTTTTTTTTTTAAGAAATGTATCTGGCTTTGGGACTGGAGTGATAGCACAGCAGGTAGGGCATTTGCCTCGTACTCGGCCCGACCCGGCTTCTATCCCCAGCATCTCATGTGGTCCCCGAGCACGGCCCGGAGTAATTCCTGAGTGCACGAGCCAGGAGTAACCCCTGTGCATCACCAGGTGTGACCCAAAAAGAAAAAAGAAAAAAAGAAATGTATCTAGCTTTTATGTGGGGTTAATTACTGACTTGAGAATTTGCCAGGCATTCTGTCTCTGAATAAGATGTTTTGAGGGTTTTTGAGTGCATAGCCTAGTTCTGTTGGTATTTGAGTGTTTGCATTGGGATAAACCCTGGGATGATGGAAATGGAGAGGAGTCCTTCAGGTGACTTTTCACCATTTAAAAAAAAGTTTTTATTGATCCTGGAGAGATAGTTCAATAGTTCAGGCACTTGCCTTGCACACTGCCTACTTGGGCTTGATCTTCGGTACCCTATATAGTCCCCTGGGCCCCTTCAGGAGTGATTCCTGACCCTGAACATGGAACTAAAAGTAAGTTCTGAGCACTGCTGGGTGTAGCCCAAACAGAGAAAGGGGACTGGGGGGCGGGGAGTGGGGGAGGATTTCTATTTCCTTTCTCTCCCTTGCAGTGCTGTTGCTGGTGGTGGTGTGGTGGCCAGAGACTCCCACATGCCTGACTGGTGCTCCCACATTCCCAGATGCGCTTGCCAGGACTTGCACATCAGCTTGGGTGCTTGCACACTCAGCATTGCTGCTCACTAACACCCTTGACTAGTGGTGCTTGCTGGGGTCATACTCTTAGTTGAGGAGCACAAGTTAATGGTTGTGGGGCTCATGGAGGGCTGCACCCTTTTTGTTAGTGTGGACCCTTGCAGTAGTGGAGATTGCAGACAGTAGAGCTCCCAGGCGCAGGGTCACTGTGTGTTAGAGTGCCAGGATTTGAATTTGTGACTGTCCATTTGTCGGCCAGCCTCTCTAAAGTCGCCGCACTGTTCTCCGGCCCTCTGGTGGCTTTGATCTTCAGGGCCTGCTCCTCCTGAGAGGGCAGCTCTGAGAGAGGAGGACACTGGGTCTCCGTTCCTTACTGTCTCCATCCTGCAGATCATTCAGCGCATTACATGGGTGAGCCCACCTGCCGTCACCAGAGAGTGGAAGAGGAAGGTGGCCCAGGAAGCCATCGAGAGCCTCAGTGCCTCCAAGCTGGCCAAAAGCATTTGCAGCCAATTCCGGACTCGCCTCAACAGTTCTCATGAGGCCTTTGCAGCCTCCTTGAGGCAGGTAGGTATGTAGGAAAGAGCAGCTCCGTCTGTGGGAGAAGAGTTGGATTATCTCCATATGCATTCTTAAATAAATCATTAGCATATTTTCTTTGGAGTCTGGCTAATTATATTAATTACAAGAAATTTTATTAATAAACTTCGCATGTGGATATTCTAACTCTGGAGAAAATGGAGAAAACTCAGTTAATTTCTCCATATTTCACAGAGCAAGAAGTGAAATAAACAGAATTTTTGTGTGTGGGGGGGCGTGGTGGAGATAGCAGGGTGCAATTTGGGCTCAGGGCTTACTCCTGGCTCTGTGTTCAGGAATCTCTTGGGGGGGGGCGGGGGAGCATATGGGGTGACAAGGATTGACCCAGGTCAACCATATGCGAGGCAGGAGATTTACCCTAGAACTTTTATATTTGAGTTTATGCAATGCTTTAAGAATGAGTAACAGAAAGGGATGCCTTTCCAGTGTACTCGCTCCCCAGTGATACCCGTTTATCTCCGAGAGGTGCGCGTGCATGTCAGTGTCTGTGGAGACTGTGTCACTGCTTATTAAGCGCCCACCATATGCCACTCTCTGAGATAAATGATAAATGCACCTTTGGATGGATATCATGGGATAATATGCCATCAGTGTTATTCCCCCTGTATAACAGCTGAAGAAACCAACCCAAGGGACCGGGTCTCTTTTTCCTCTTTCTTTCTCTCCCAGTTGGAAGCTGGCCACTCAGGCCGCCTGGAGAAAACTGAAGATTTGTGGCTGAAAGTTCGAAAAGATCATGCCCCCCGCCTGGCCCGCTTGTCTCTAGAAAGCCGCTCTTTGCAGGATGTCTTGCTGCATCGTGAGTCCTTGTGTGTTTATTTGTTTTCTGTATCAATTGGAAAAGGGTTCTGGGTACCTCTGCTATCTTCTTTCCGGCCTTGGAGAATTCCAGTTTCTAAAGTTGTTTTCTTGTGTTGCTGCATAAGTCCCTGGTGTGGTTTTGAACTCCTGAAGTCTGTTTGGTTTTGAGACTTAACATAGTGGGTAGAACATGACCGGTGTTTGCCTGAGCCAAACCAGTTAGGTGGCTTTCTGCTGGGTTAGGCTTCGAGCAGCCTGCACTTCCCTGCTGTGGTGGTAGCTAGCTCCTGTCTCTGGGAATCTCAGGATCTCAGGAATGTTGCCCAGCACGTTTCTGTTCGCCTTACCCCAGACTCTGTGTCTTTCAGGTAAACCTAAACTGGGACAGGAACTGGGTCGGGGTCAGTATGGTGTGGTGTACCTGTGTGACAACTGGGGGGGTCACTTCCCCTGTGCCCTGAAGTCAGTTGTTCCTCCAGATGAGAAGCACTGGAATGACCTGGCTTTGGAGTTCCACTACATGAGGTAGGTTCTGGCCTGTTCGTCTCTGTGTGGGAAGAAATTCAGAGCCAAGGCCAGACCGCTGGTATAGATTTTCTTTCTTTCTTTTTTTTTTTTCTTTTTTGGGTCACACGTGGAGATGCACAGGGGTTACTCCTGGCTCATACACTCAGGAATTACCCCTGGCGGTGCCCAGGGGAACATATGGGATGTTGGGAATCGAACTCAGGTTGGCTGCATGCAAGGCAAACGTCTTACCCGTTGTGCTATCACTCCAGCCCGAGACCCCTGGTATAGATTTTTGTACCCACACCTACAGTATGCCTGGCCTTTGCCAGTCTGTTTTCAGATGTTGTAGATTAGTATTCTGTCTGACCCAGAAACGTACTCTGGCCAGGCCTCTGCTGTCTGCGTGTCCTTTCCCCCCCTCCTCATTTCTCAGACTGTTCCTTCCGTTTGCGTTTCATCTTTAGTCCTTACGGCTCCAGTTTCAGACTCCCCAGTTGTCCCATTAGAGGGCTTCCCTCTGTGGCTCCTGCCCGGCCTCCTGGCTGAGCAGGGGCTGGAGGTCAGCCCTTCCCACCCGGTGGTGTGCCTCAGCCCTCAGCCCTGCTCCTCGCACAGGTCTCTGCCGAAGCATGAGCGATTGGTGGACCTGCACGGCTCCGTCATTGACTACAGCTACGGCGGGGGCTCCAGCATCGCCGTGCTGCTCATCATGGAGCGGCTGCACCGCGACCTGTACACGGGGTTGAAGGTGAGACCGTGGAGCGGGGGCCAATGGGGGCTGGGCCCGGCGGCCTCCAGGTCTCTCACCCTCCCGTGGGTATCCAGAACTATTTGTTTTCGTAAGACGTTGGTGGGACAGTCAGGCTTTGTGGCCCTTATTTCCTGCATACAAAAAATGTTCTCAAGCTAATGTTTTTGTCCTGGTTTATATAGAAGACACTCTAATTCTCTAATTTCCTGTGATTAAAGTCTGAACTACTCAGAAAAGAGCAGAACACTTTTTTTTTTTATGTAATTCTGCGTTATTGCTCTCTTAGAGTTTTTCTGCTAATGGCCAGGGTTTTTTGTTTTGTTTTCTTTAGCCAACAGATATGTATTAGTGACTAACTTGATTTTGTTGTTGTTGTTGTTGTTTTGTTTGGAGGCCATACTGGGAGTGTTCAGGGTTTACTCCTGACTCTGTGCTCAGGAATAATTCCTGGTGGGCTCCAGGTACCATGTGGGATGCCAGGGATTGAACCCTGGCAGCTACATGCAAGGCAAACACGCTACCTACTGTACTATTGTTCCAGCCCCACTTAGGGACTAATTTATGTAAGGCCATGTGTTAAACATCATAAAGAATATTTAAAATGTAATTGGGCATTGGAGACAGTACAGTAGACAGGGTACTTCTGTAGGCGGCTGACTCAGCTTTGATCCTTGGCACCTGTGTGGTCCCCCAAGCCCTGTCAGGAGTGATCCGGGAGTTTAGCGCCAGGAGTAAGCTCTGAGCATTGCTGAGTGTGGACCAAAACCTAAAAACAAATAAAATGTGTAAAATCCAGGAGATCTTAGAGAATTGTCATCAGTCAGTAGTAGGATTTGGCACTGGAGTCTGATAAGTATTCTTTGATGGGTAACATGTGGGTGGGCAGTTGGAAAGAAAAGGATTTTATCAGGGCGAAGGAGTAAGCATAACATCCATACATTTGAAGGCTTACAAAGAAACTGCTCCTGTAAGAGCAACTAGTTTATTTGGGGAGTGGAGGAGATTTTCTACAAAGAAAGGTCTGGAACAAATTATATCTCTATAATACCCAGAATGTGAAAAAAAAATTATATAGGAGGGCTGAAGAAATAGATAGTAGAGGGGTTATGGCACTTGCCACTTGGTTCGATCCCTGACAGCACGTGGTCCCCAAAACATTGCCAGGAGGGACCCCTGACATAGAGCCAGGAGTAGCCCCTGGGCATTGCCAGATGTGACCCAGATCTCTTGACCTCCCCAACCCCAAGTAATTTTTAATTTCCACAGTGTTGAGGCGGCAGCTCATAGGGCTTGGAGCACATGTGGAAGGCCCAGAGCTCGCTCCCTGCCACCACTTACTATGGGAACTTTCAGGAGTCAGGCAGTCAAAACCTGGAAATGCTTGCAGGAGCCATAAGAAACCAATATGCTGAAGAAAATGACTTTCCAAGTGGCTTTCCCTCTTGACTGCAAAGATTGAAGCTCAGCTCTGTCAGATGGATTTTCACTAGCCATCCAGAATAACATGTTAGCACTTTGGGATGAGTGATGTGACCTCCAGAACTCAGGAAACTCTGAATTGGAGGCTCTGGTAGAAGCTGAGACACTTTGGTAGTTAAACTTTTTTCCTCTTGTGTTTGTTTTTGGCTCTTGGACCACACTCTGCTTATGCTCAGGGCTCTGTGCTCAGGGCAGGAACCACTCTTCACAGGCTTGGGGGACCGTACGTGGTGCCAGGTTGGTCTTGTGCAAGCAAGCACCTTAGCCGTTGTACTGTGTCTCCAGCCCCAGAACTTTGGCGTTTGAATCCATAAAGCCCGTCCCGGTGCTGTGAAAGACCTACATAGCAGTGGAAGTGCAACTGCCTTGGCACCTGGAAACACCACCCTGGTGCCTAGAGGGTGCTGACACTGTTCAGGTGGTCAGTGGTCAGTGGTCAGAGGTGTGTTTGTACCTCTCCTTCTCCCTGGGGCTGCTGGCTGGCCTGCAGGCAGCCTCCAAGGGGTGTAGTTGGCGTTAGAGCTGCTCCTTCTGCCTCTGCTTCTCCTTTAGTCATCAGTTTTCTATCCGTGCATACCCCAGTGCCATTGGTTTTTCAGTCCCACGGAGGAAACTCTTCCTTGGTTCTGGCAAGTTAGCTTGACGGATTGTCTTGCTGGTGCCAGTGAAGCTCTTTTGTCTCCCAAGGCTGGACTGACCCTGGAGAAACGTTTGCAGATAGCACTAGATGTGGTGGAAGGAATCCGTTTCCTGCACAGCCAAGGGCTTGTCCACCGTGATATCAAACTCAAAAATGTGCTGGTAAGTAAGAGCTGTTTCACCAAGATAACACCCTGCTTGTGTGGTGGAGTAACCCTGGGAGAGTGTGTGCGATGCAGGTTTGGTCTCACAGAGAGCCTGGAGGGGAGGGGAGGTAGAATTACAGCAGAGCCAATGGACAGAGACTTAACTTACGGTTGCTTATAAATTTTTCCTCCTAATAATGTTGGGGCAGGGGAGCAGCGGGGGCGGGATTTCAATTTAGAGCAAAGTTGAGTGGTTCAGTGAATATCCATATACTCTTCAACGGACTCATAGTGTCTCCTCATAGCAGGGTACATGTCTGTATTCCCCAAATATAGAGACTTATTATTGGCTTCCTTTATATGAAAATACTTCATTCCACTTGCTTCAGTTTGTACCTCCTAAGGAAAAGGACTTACTTTACACCAGGAAGATGCCAATATTAGACTCAAGAAATTTAACCTTGACGAAGTACTGTAGTAAATGCACTGTATAGCATTACAGTTAACAGGGGCCAAATAAATATGCCCCTTTATCCCATGTTTGCTTTGTTTGGTTCAGGTTCTAATCTAAGAACCACAAAATGCACTTTTTTTAAAAAAATTTTTATAATTTATTTATTGAATCACTGTGGGAAAAGTTACAAAGCTTTCAGGTTTAGGTCTCAGTCATGCAAATATCAAACACCTTTCCCTTTACCATTACTTATTTTTTACCACGAAGAACCCCAATAAAACCCCACCCCCACCCCTCCCAATGCCTGCGAGGCAGATGAATTCTAGCTGACACTCTATCTGCTTTGATTAGATTCATTGTTGCAATAAAAGATGCACCACTATTATTTAGAGTTTACCCACTCCCCCCAAATCAGACATGCTGAGAGAGCATTGTGAAGTGATTGGCTTTCTACAGCTGGGTTCAAGAATTAAATGTTGGTTTTGGATTTCCGCTATTTTGCTAATTAACCCTGGAAGTATTTCTACTGAGAGTCAGATAATTAAGAGATTGGTTTCTGTGCTCTGGAGTCGTGGCCATGCTGGAGAGCCACTCGTGGGGGGCAACTGGTGGCCTCGGTAGGGCGTGAAGGACGGACTGGAACGCCCCCCTTCCCATGAGGTTTTAGTCACCCCCACACCCCCGGCTCGCACCTGCTCTCCACAAGGCACCCATGTGGCCGCCATCTTCTTTACAGAGAGGAGAGGGCGAATGGGGCAACACCCTTTCCCCCCCCCCCCCCGGGCAGACATGATGGCCTGGATTAACGCATAGTCCGTTCAACAAAGTTCACTTTGTTTCCACGTTTCTTTAACCTCTTGATCTACTATAGATTTTAGCCTTTGTTTTGCTTTTGCTGTAATGATCCTTTTAAGAATTTGGGGTCTTGTTATTGTGTAGAGAGTATCATCAGATTTGCAGGATGGGGCTGAGAGGAGAAAATGTACCTTCACAATTAAAGCAGTCACGAACCTACCAGTTCATGAACCACAGTTATAATGAATATTGTACATATGAATAAGAAATTAATTTTGGGTTATCTGGAAGTCTCTCTGGCAACACGAAATATATAAATATGGAAACAGCTTCTGGAAACAGCAACGCTTCCCAAAAGGTGACCATTGAGAGGCTTATCAGTAGATCACTGCATCACTGTCATCTCGTTGTTCGTCGATTTACTCTAGCGGGCGCCAGTCTCTATTCGTCTCAGCACTGAGATTTTAGCAGCCTCTCCTTACTTGTCTTTCCAACAATTGGAGGCTCTTTCAGGGTCAGGGGAATGAGACCTGTTACAGTTACTGGTTTTGGCATATTGAATACGCCACGGGGAGCTTGCCAGGCTCTGCCCGTGCAGGCACGATACTCTCAGTAGCTTGCCGGGCTCTCCAAGAGGCATATATATATTTTTCTCTGATTTGTTGCCTACTGTCTGAACTCCATGAGACAAGGTGTGGTAATTATGAAAAATGGGTAGAAACTGGCCTGGAGCGTGGCGGCAGTTTGGTAGTGGAGGTCGGCTGCCGGGGCTGGGTCCCTTGGGGTGGGGAGGACTCTCGCCCACCCCCCTCTAAGGCGCCCCAAGTGAAAAAAGCCTGGTGCTGTTTTCAGTAGATAAATAAATGAAATGTAGGTGAATTCTTCCTGCCTTATAGTAAAGGAGAGGAAAATAAACTCAGACTGGGAAATAGCTCAGAGGCTGGGCTGCAGCTTTGCTTGTGGGAAGCCCGGGTTTGACCCCCTGATACCACGTTTCCCCCACATGGCCAGCAGTGATCCCAACTCCTTCCTCCCCAGCACTGAGTGGGGTGTAGCCTCTGAACATCACTGGGTGTGACTTGAAAACAAAGTGAACAACAAAACCAACAGAAGACTCCGGAGCTGACCAGCCTTCCGTAGGACTTTCTTCCTAGTCTAGGGGTCAGAGAATAGTCAGGAATGAAATATTTTTCTTATTGTCCACTTTTTCTTTCAAGATTTGTTAAGTTTCTGATGGTGCCAGGCCCAGTGCTAAGTGCTGGCCGTACAAAGATGAAAAAGAACCATCTGGGGTAGAAGACAGTGAAGGGGATGAGTGTGGAGACCAGGAGGCTGAAGGTGGGCTGGATGAAGTGTGTGCTTTGAGCCTGGGTCTGCAGCTGGACCCTGTGCATTCCCAGATCCAGGCTGACTCTCCCCCTGCTTTGCTGGCAGCTGGACAAGCAGAACCGTGCCAAGATCACTGACTTGGGATTCTGCAAGCCAGAGGCCATGATGTCTGGCAGCATTGTGGGGACACCAATCCATATGGCCCCGGAACTTTTCACAGGTGAGCTGGCAAGCAGGGATGTGTACCACCTCGAGTAGGACCCCGGGGGCTGAATATTATCCTTCAGTACTGGCGCATCTTGCCCAGGCAAAGAAGAAACCAGAGCAGAGGACACTGAAAACAAATTCGGGGGAAAGAGAAAAGGTAGAGGGGAAAGGAAGAATACAAGGGGACTCACTAGCATGTCTCTAGGCTACAGGAACCATAATGGCCACAATCAACCACTCATATTTAATCTCAAAGTGTTGACCGAATACTTTCTATATAATAGGTGTTGTCCCCTATCATTAAAGACCTTACCATTGACAGATAAATAAGAAGCAGTATAAGACAGCACGTCATTAAGAGCTATATAATACAATGTTGGTGTTAGAAAAGGGATATATGAAGATTGAAATGTTTTGTTTTGTGGTAGAGGAACAATTTCAAGTAAGTATTAAATCACATCTGAAAATTGGTAGGTATTGAAGGCAGGAGAGATAATACAGCGGATAAGGCACTTGCCTTGCATGCTGCCAATCCCAGCTTTGATCCCGACACTGCATATGGTTCTCTCTGTGCCACCAGGAATAATCTCTGAGCATAGAGATAGAAATAAGCCCTGAGCACCACTGGGTGTGGCCCCCAAACCGAAGCATGACAGTAATAATACTTTTTTTAAAAGGTAGGTTTGAAGGGAACATGCTAAGTATATTCTTGTACTGATACTGGACACAGGGCTTCACATATGCCAGAAAATATACTTGATTAAGAAAAGCAAAAAGAAACCTCACTGTACCACTGAGCCACGTCACTTGCCTTAAGTATAGAATATGTAGAAAGCCTCGGTGTGCATTGAGGCTCTTGGTGAGTCAGGCTGGTGGTTCGGTGCTCAGGGAGGCAGTTTTGGAGGGCCCTGCCGTGCAGGATCTGACAAGGCCCTCACCTTAATCCCCGGGCTCCAGCCATTAGACCCTACTGGAGACCTGGCAGTGTGGCTGCTTTTTCCCCCCATATATTTTGTACCACTTAATTCTCACAATCCTGTGGTGATTTGGGTATAGTTCTTTGTCTATATCATGTACAACTTTAAGACAAGGGCAGACTATGAATACATCTACCCCAAAACGTTGTGCTAGGAAGTAAATAAAATGGGGGTTGGGTCTGGGTCTTTAGGCTCCAATCATGTTTCATGAAGAAAAGAAAATTATGCAGATTGAGGAAGGGGGAATATGAAGGAAGTCACAGAATACAAATAGACAAGACAGCAAAGAGACTGTCATTTGGGGAGCAGCAGACAGAGTTGGAGTTAAAAGACGGTGGGCCTGAAATTCACCCTTAGGTTTAAGGCTGGATGTGACAGAAGCGAGCAGGTGAGGGAGGAGAGGCAACGTTCACAGAAGCAGCAGTAGGTAGAGGAGATGTGAGTGGGAAGAAGGCACGCCCCAGGATTAGGTGGGCAGGGCCACAAACAGCGCAGCAAAAAAATGACAACTTTTCAGTCGGTTTAGAAGAAAGTGGGCAAGGTTTTGTTAATATCTGCAGTGGATCTTGAACAGAAAAGAATGGTTTAAAACTGGCTCTGAGATTTTGGACCCGGTGGATCAGGAATGGCTCTACGCTTGCCGTAGAGAATGGCCTGGTAATCACGGGCGTGCTTGGTATCGGTGAGAGGTAAGATTGGCAGCAGATGCCGTGTCTCTTGTCTTCCCACTCTCCATCACCGAGTGAGACCCACGAGGAGTGGGCGTGAGCTGGAGAGCCCTTACGGAGTCAGGTAGGCTGGCAGCCCTTTCTTGAGATTTATTTTTAAAAATCTTTTTATTACCTCTGTGTGTGTGTGTGTGTGTGTGTGTGTAGAACCCAGTTACGAAGTCAAGTAGGCTGTCAGTCCAGTCCTTTCTTTAGATTTATTTCAAAAAAAATTTTTATTACTCGCTGGAGCGATAGCACAGCAGTAAGACGTTTATCTTGCACTCGGCTGACCCGGCCTACCCGGGTTTGATTCCTCCGCCCCTCTTGGAGAGCCCAACAAGCTACCGAGAGTATCTTGCCTGCACGGCAAAGCCTGACAAGCTACCCATGATGTAGTCGATATGCCAAACACAGTAACAAGTCTCACAATGGCGATGCTGCTGGGCCCACTTGAGCAAATCAATGAACAATGGGAGGACAATGCTACAGTGCTACAATTGTGTATGTGTGTGTGTAGAACCCAGGCAGTGCTTCGAGGGCCCAAAGGTAGGCCTGGTGATGTGATACTAGATTTATATTCCCCTAGCCGTAATTTTATTTTGGCTGCTTCATGTTTAAATTTCTTTGACCCTGCTGCTGTCAGAAGCATCTGTCTGAAATACTCGCCAGTCGCCTCCTGCTCTGAAACAGGACTCACTTCCTGCTGCCCACTGAGTCCAGGCTCTTCTAACTTTCTAGGGTTTTATTTTTGCCATACTCCTTGCTCAGAACTTCCTCTCGCGTCTGGCTCTGCGCTCCAGGATCACTCCCTGCAGATAGGGGACTGTTTGTGGTCCTGGGGATTGGACCCAGGTTGGTCACATGCAAAGCTGGTGCCCTATCTGCTACCCTATCTCTCTAGCCCCTCTTCTCTCAAAATTAAAAATATTTAGTGCTGGGGCTGGAGAGATAGTACAGTGGGGAAGGCACTTGCCTTGCATGCAGTCAGTCTGAGGTTTAGTATCTGGCACCCTGTATGGTCTGCGGAGCAATTCCAGGAGGAATCCCTGATCACAGAACCAAGAGTAAGCCCCAAGCACTGCTGAAGTGTTCCCAAAACAAAACAACAGAAAAATCTGTAGGGTTTGGGGAAGTGGCTTAACACATTGGCCACAGTGCCTACACCCAAGTGGCTCACACTTGACTGTGCAATTGACACAGATTTGCAGCACTGGCATCAGCGTGGTGAATGTGACCCTTGGGTTAGATTTTCCATACTTCACGGTCACCTGAATGACTTGGGCGTGACACCCGCCCCCCCCGCCCCCCCCCCCCTCCCTCCAAGCACTGCTGGATATAGAGCTCAGAAAAGTCTTTATGTTTGGGTTCTGGTTCCACCCATCTTTATTTCCCTTTCTTTCCACATTAACTTCCTATTGTTCCATTAAAATGTAGAGGCCCCATATCTCTTCCCCTTTCTGATTATAGCCTTGGTTTTCTTTGTTCTGGGAATTGGCCCTCCTAGTGTCATGGGGGACGGGGGGGGGGGGGGGGGGGGGGAGCTCTCAACATGGGTGTCCTAGATGCATCTGGCCTGCCAGGTTGTTAGGTAAAATGACAGATGTCGAGAACTTTAGGGAAAATGTTGCCTCTGCCGAGCCGCCCGAGTGGGGTGCTGAATTCCCTCCCGGTCACTGGCTGTTTGTCATCCCTTCTTGCTCTAGGGAAGTACGATAACTCCGTGGATGTCTATGCTTTCGGCATTCTGTTCTGGTATATCTGCTCAGGCTCTGTCAAGCTCCCCGAGGCATTTGAGAGGTGTGCCAGCAAAGACCATCTCTGGAACAACGTGCGGAGAGGTAGGCCACATCCTTCCTTTACCCCGGGCCCTTGGGAGACGGGCGCTGCGCAGCCAGTGCCTTGCCTCCCCTCTCCTGCCAGTGTGCCAGGGAACCACATTCATCCCACAGTGGTGGAATCCGGAAGAGATGTTTGAGACAGACTTTGCTTCCCCCCTTCTCCCAAGTTCCTTCAGCATGCCAGCGTGTTTGGTATATTCCATCATGTTGCGTCAGGTCCTGACCTACATATGCGTTTGCTGCTACCGCCGCAGCTCGTTTGCTTCCTTTAACCTCCTGGGCTCCGACTGCGTCATCCATCAGTCTGTGAACTGATCGTGCCCCTTGTTCCATTGGTTCTCACCTCCCAGCTCTGGGTCTAATCTCCCTGTTGTCCTCTGCAGGGGCCCGCCCTGAGCGCCTCCCCGTGTTTGATGAGGAATGCTGGCAGTTGATGGAAGCCTGCTGGGATGGGGACCCCTCTCAGAGACCTCTCCTGGGCATTGTCCAGCCCATGCTCCAAGGCATCATGGACCGCCTGTGCAAGTCCCAATCTGAGCGGCCTAACAGAAGACTTGAGGATTCGACTTGAAAGCAAAGACCTTTTCCTTTCACTCTTACTTCTCTCTTCCCCTCACCTTTTGGCCACGGGAGAATTTGACATTTACTCATTCTAAAGTGCTCCCGTGGGGAGTGATGCTTGCTGGGCACCCAGACCCCCTCCCAGGCAGAGATGCTGCGGGTGGCTGAGGGAACATGCCCCGCGCCGCACTGACACCCAGGCTGCCCCTTTAGCAGACGGCTGTCTAGGACATATTAAAGCTGATAATGCAGTGTTCTGGCCTTAGCTGAGCGAGGCCTCTGCTCCCGTGGTCTGGTCCCGGTGTGCTCCCAGGGCACCGGGGACACTGCAGTGGGGATAGTGGTGAAAGCGACCATTTTTCATGACTTTTGACTCTAACCAAGAACGGTTGGCTCTGCCCAGCCATCAGAATCCTTAGAAAATTTGAGCTTAGTTCTGAGATTGTTAGAACATAGGAACAAAAATAGTTCTGAGGTTGTTAGAAAATAGAAACAAAAAATAATACGTGGGTACCTGACTCAGGCTACCTGTGAGCTAGCAGCAGCCGGAGGCCCCCCGGGGAGTGAGCCAGAGCCACTGTGTCGGGGTGTTCCCAGGAACGCGGGCAGGGCTTCAGGTCCACTCCCAGGATGCCACAAAGGAAGGAAAACGGAAGCATGCCTGTGTTGCTATTGGGGTTGGAGTTACTGCTGATCTCAGAGACTGTCTTATACCTTGGGGCCTTTTTTTTTTTTTTTAATATGGGAGGGTGTTCTCAAAATGGGGATGCGCCAGTTAACATGGTACTTAAGGGTGAATGACTAAAATGGACCCACTGCAAAGTCATTCTGGGAACCGAGAATGATGCTGTGGGCCTCCAGATGAACCCACTAACGAGAGGCCGACTTGTTTCCTAAACTCAGAAATGTAGAGACTCTTCTCATTGTGTTTGAATATAACATACTGACTTTTTTTTTTTTTATGTTTGCTAAGTGAGCTTTTTTAAACCAAGGTTTCTACTGCAATTGACCTATCTTTTTACCTTATTTTTACTAGGGTCAGTAGGTCAGCGGGAGGGGAGAAGCAGACGGGTGATCTCTTTAGCTCTGTGTGCCTGCCACCCTAGGAAGGGTCCCTGCTCAGCAGGCAGGAGGGAATTTGCAGCCTTTGGAGCATTTTGTCAAGAATTGCAAAAGAATTCTCATCCCAGACAAAGGAAGTGGAACTCTTACGCACCTCTGATTCTTGACTTTGCGCTTCCCTTAGCCTGTTAATGAAGCACTTGACAGTGGAGGGGAGAAGCCCCCGGCCTTTGGCTGGCCCCAGAGGTCTGGCTCCGTGCCCTTCAAGGGGCCCCTTGTGGTGACAAGGTAACGAGCACACGTGGGTGCTGGAGCCTTCCAGGTTGGTTGTGACAGAGCGACCATTTCCTAAATTTCAACAGGGTACAGTAAGAAAAATCTCATGTAATTCTTCAAGTTCAGTTTTAACTATTGGCCAAGTGTAGTAGCCCCCTAAGTACTGTGGCTCCATAAAGTATTAAAACTCAAAGTTCACTTGCAAGCGGGAAAAGTGACTGACCGGAGTGTCTTTGGGTTCTGAGGCTACAGCCTGGTTTTGGTGGAGAATTCAGTCGAATTTTTTATCACTCAGAATTAAGACCTAGCTGTACTTCGTGTCACTCTCTTTTTAACAGCGTTAACTCAGTGCCCTTCTCAGGACCGTGATGGGGCTTATAGGAGGTCAGGTTTCAAGTTTAACACGGAGCGATCAGGAGACTCCTGTTATAAATCAGTGTAGGTCTGTTCTGGGTGAAGCTTTAAGCAGCTGGCCTGGCCCCTTTGCAGGGTACTTCCTGCTCCCAGCAGACCTGGCCCCCAGGGGAGCCACATTCCTGATAGTGGGAGGCCCCACTCACACCCCGTTCATTCACAAGGGCTTCCCAGGTTCCTTTTCATTTATTTTAGCCCCTAAATCCTGCAAGAACCTTAGTCTGCCACAGACCTATTCTCCATGCTTTTTGTTTGCGGGGGTGGGGAGGAAAAGGGGGACTAATTCTAAGTTAGAGGGACAAGAAATTGTGTGAATTTTTTCTTCCTTCTTTTAAGTATTCTGAAAAAAGGTGCAAATTATTCCTCAAAATCTATAGGCTAGCCAAAGTCCACATTTAGATATTTGGAGATGTTATTTAAACACTCAGCAGGCTGAGTGCAGGAATATATATATATATATATGTATAAGTGTGCATATACTTTGCTTTTATTTTGTAACAGTGTGGCTGATTTAGGGACTCGTCCTTCCTCACCACCCATTAGTACTGAAGGTGGGGAGACGCTAGGCAGTCCAGGAGTCCGCTGGCCCTGAGCGGTGGCAGGCTCAGCATTGCCCAGGCCTCCGGGAGTGCAGTGAGGCTGCCCGGGAGAAGAAGAAAGGGCAGAGAGAACCTCCCTCCCGGCCGGGGTTCTTGGTCAGGATGGCTCGCCCCAGCCTGGCTGTTTTTAACACACTTCAAGTCAAGCACTTGTTTTGCATTAGCACTAAGTGGCGAGAGACTTCCCTGCAGAGCCATCATGAGGAACGTGGGGGCCCTTGGGTTCCCCTAAGCGGGGGAGCAGGCAGCGTGCCTCTGGGGGTGAGGAAGGCTTGTGGCTGAGGTTCCTGCAGCACGTCCCGCTCTCTGCCCCTCCGCAGGGAGGACTCGTGGGGCAAGCCCGCCCTCTTTCCCGGAAAGGGGCCCCTGCTGGCTCCTCCCGGGCTCTGCTAGGCCCGGGTTCCCCTAGGTAGCACCTATTTCTAACACTAAAATTCCAGGGAGCAATGGAGGAGAGGTTCCCCGACTACTCCCAGGAGGGCTGGCAGGAGCGTAGTGCTCTCAGCGGGTAGCTCTCCAGTGCTCTTTTGTATTTCCGCTTGAGTTGCCAAAGGGGGGGCCGGAAAAGCTCTTTCCTGATGGGAGAAGTGGTTGGGGTGGCAGAGTGACAGGGTGATAACTGCACTGAACGACACTTTATTTCTTCAGCATATTTAGCACTGACAAGCCAAGGCGGCCTGGTGATCCCAGTCGCCGTTGGGGGGACCGAGGTGATGGCCTGGCAGGGTGGAGGTGGCCCGCGGGTCCACACAGCCCCCGGCACCCCGTACCCAAAGAGCACTTGCTTGATTTGAGTTCTCAAAGCTCGATGTTGGATTTGCTGCAGGAAGCAACCCCCCATTCTTTACCTGTCTGAAATGAGGAGGGGGGACCAGCCTTGAGAAACTTCCCTGGCAGCTCCCCCATCCCTCAGTGGCATTTGGGCCAAATGTTGTTATGGAAACAATGAAGCACACCGCACAGGATGGTGACAGTGACGGTGGATTCGGGGTCTGTCCTTGTGCGGGAGATTGGGATGGGGGGGCACATGTTCTGAAAGGAGCGGCCTCTTGCAGCACCGGCTTTGCTGACGCTCAGTGCCACCAGGTTCTCCTGGCTGCTGTCCCCAGATGGAGATGAGATGGGTCTAGACAGCTCGTTGTCTCTCTGTAATGTTGTTTTAAAGCGTCTATTTTATTACAGTGTTAAAAAGTGTAAAATACTAAATGTGTAGAATACAAGTGCAATAATTTACCCCTCGAACAGGACTTCGGCACCCATGTCAGCCCTTACGCCCGCTCCCTTCCTGTGCTTCCACATTTCCCCTCTATCACTGTCACTGCAGGTCCATGTTCATTGTGTGTCTTTTAGGAGACCTGGCAATGGATTATGAATTCACCTTGTCATTTTGAACGGTTGGTTTTATAGACTACTCTGTGTACTGATTGGGACGTGTGAACAGCAGATGTGCTGTATAATAAAGATCATGTCGCCATCGTAGGTTTGTGTCTGTTCGCCTTTTTGTTTTCCCACACCGCACCAGCTCTGTTGGGTTATGTTTCGGAGTAGGGGGCCCTGCGTGTAGTGGGGACCCTGGGCCTTGGGGCTCTCCCTACAAAGCTTACCTGCAGGCCTTTGCACCATCTTCTCTGCCCCTCTCGGTTAATAGGATGTTCCCCTTCCGTTTCCATGGGGACCTCTGGGGTTAGATGATTGCCCGGTTTGCCATGGGAGGCTGTCAGGCTGTTTCTCCCCAAGGGTGCCTTCCCTAGTCCCACCCAGAGTTGCTGGGTCCCTTTGCTCTGCCCCTAGAGGCTGGGGGGAGGACAGCAGAGGGAGTCAGACAGGGCTGGTAGTAATTTTTTTCTCCTTGAGTTCTTTATTCAGCTTCTCACCATGGATTTAAAACCTTATCCTGGGTGCATGCACAGACTCAGCTACTCCATACCACACAGAATCTGGGGGTGTCACTATCCCATTTGCAACGTGTGAATTTTCTATTTTCAGCCAACCCCACTGCCAGTGCCCTTGCCTGGCGGATCCTGACAGAAGAGAGAGATCCTGGCTGGCCACTGCTAGCAGTCAGACTGCAGTCCCCAGGCAGTGCCGATACCTGCACCCTGCACGTGTGTGTGTGTGTGTGTGTGTGTGTGTGTGTGCGCGCGCGCGCCCTCTGTGCTGTCACATCTGCTGCTGTGACTGCCACTTTGTGCTCTGAATTGGCTGCATCTTCAGTGTGGCCAGGAGGTGGCAGCACAGGGATGGTTGATGTGTTAGCATTTGGTCTGAAAGAAGGTCAAGTTAACTGGGTGTAGCCATCCCTCCACAGTCATCCTTGAATGGCACATCCCTACCTACCCTATGAAACTGTCCGCCCTCAGCTCCCTTCCGACGTGCTGTATCCTACCTCACACGCACATGCCCTGTATTCTACGCCCCCTCCCCCAAAAACAACAACAACAACAAACTCAAGAAATAGGGATAGAAGAGAAAGGGAATAGCTTTCAAGATGGTAATGACTATTTACAACAAATCAGCAGCCGATGTCATTTTTTTTTCTTTTTGGGTCACACCTGGCGTTGCACAGGGATTACTCCTGGCTCATGCACTCAGGGATTACTCCTGGTGGTGCTCAGGGGGCCATATGGGATGCTGGGAATCGAACCCGGGTCAGCCGCGTGCAAGACAAATGCTCTGTCTGCTGTGCTATTGCTCCAGCTCAGCAGCTGATGTCTTAATGACAAACAAAACCAAACCCAAACTAGAAGCCATAGAGATAGTACTTTGTCAGCAGATTCACTCATGGATGAGGCTCGTCTGGGCCTGTGGAGATTGGCCATATGCATGGTGGTGATTGACTTCTGGAGGTTTTTGGCTGCCGGGCGTTTCAGGGGCTGATGGAGAGTAGGGTGCTTGCCTTGCATATGACTAACCAAATCTCGATCCCCAGCATCCCGTATGGTTTCCCAAGCACTGCCAGGAGTAACCACTTGAGCATCTCTGGCAGTGGCCCCAAAACCAAGCCAAACAAAAACCCAAACTTAAAAACTTTTGACATCAGGCACAAATAAAAGGTCCACACTCCATACATTATGCTTTAGGAAATACCATTTTAATCAAGCAAGAAAATTAAAGGTACCCAGACTGGAAAAGAAGAAATTAAGCTGTCACTATTGTAATGACATGATAATATACATAGAAAACTATAAAGACCACACACACACACACACACACACACACACACACACACACACACACAGAAACAATAAGCCAATACAGCAAAGTAGTAGGTTGTAAAATCAGTCCGCAAAAATCTGTTGCATTTATTTTTATAAAGTTGTTCACAATAATTGATAACATTTAATATTCCAACACCAATCCCACCACCATT